TAAAAACCTTTCCAAAATTCTATCAAAAATAATTAGTTGAAACTGAGGGGGAGTACAATTTAAAATTTAGTTGGAAGATTTCTGGTCGGACTTGAATTTAATTAAGGTAAAACTCATCGCACGGATGTTCATCTTATGTTCATCAAACTGTAACAGAATACAGAGATTGATAGGAAAATGCTTGATTTTCACAGCCTAGATGAATAGCCCGGTTACCTTCACTTTTGATCTGAGCTATAGGAAAAGCAGAAGCGTCAAGATCCTGCATTTGTATTGCTGTCATTAACTAGTTTACTTCCAGAAAACAACTGTCGGATCATCCTGTTTACGACTTTTGGCTCACTCTTCTAGAAAGTAATTGGGAAGTGTTCTTCGACACGGGTAAGAATTTTGATTCTTTATGTCTGTTCTGTTCTGTAGTCATCATTTGCTTTGAATCCATGGGTTTGACGCCTTCTAGAGACGCGAGTGCCAAACCAGAAACTTATGCAGTGTTTCCAATTTGCTATACGTCATGGCTACTGTCAGCTGGTTGAATATATATGGAACAGAATTGGTGACAATACAAGGGAATATATAGGTGTGTTATGATACTATCTTTGTTATATTTCTGAGTTTTGTGAACAATTATGGGAAAATCATGAAAACATGTGATGGAGAAATAGTGACCACTTGTGCATACCTGAGTTTTTTTGTAGCTAAGCGGAACAAATCTTCAACCAGCGGCACCTCATATAATACATTTTTTGTGAAACAATATCAGTATTAAACCATCGCTCATTACCGTACTCTGTCCGAGCGCAACCAATCACCGCGCTTGCGTACAGTACTGCGCAAGATATCGATTTTTCTGCAGCGAATGCATTTGGTTTGTGGCAAATGGATTTCGAGAGCAGCAGTTGGAAAAGAGATTGAAGTTTTATAAAAATTATAAGGATTGCAGGTACTAGATTTGTCTATAATGGCGGTGTAATCTTGTTCAGGTCTTCTCCAATGGCGTTCGCTTTGTTTTCGCACAAGAGATAGGGACACAATGCGCTTTCTCTGCACCAGATTATGTGCGATGAATCCGGTGGGAGTGGCTAGGATCTCATGGACCGCATTCTTTGATACGTTCTACAATTCAGTCAATGTGGGACGATGCACTATAAATAAGCGATAAACTATCATGAGAGTGTATCTTTGCAGAATGAGCAGAGTGATATCGTAGTGGAACACAAATTTCGAAAGCGCTTGGAGTTTTTGATCGAAAATTGTTGTCCTGAACTTAGGAAGCGTCTGTTGAATATGGAAAACTTCAGGTGAGTCTTGAACTCTAAGCAAGTCAGATTGAAATTGGTTTCCTAATTCTTCCTCTTCCTCCTAAGCAAAGTCGTTTGTGAATTTTGGCAGAAAATTAGGCAGTATGTTTGGGTATCAGTTTATTAGCTGAATTTCTGAGTGGTTTTA